CGCGAGACCAGCTGGCTGAACTACGGTCTCGGGGTCCGTCGGCGTGGGCATGTAGGCGTAGTGCGGCATAGTCTGCGCATCGACTGCTCGTGTATACTGCAGACGAAACATCTCATTGGCCAGATTTCGAGTGTATTCGTTTGCAGGTGGCCCCGCAATCATAGGAGTGTTATTCATCTGCGCGTAGTACTCCGGGTACATCGGCGCATCCATGGCCGGTGCCTCTGCTGGTCCATGATTGTCCCATCCATATATTGGGTGTGATGCTATCCCTGGAATAAACACCTGTCGATGTGGATTCGTGGGATCTGCATTCGGTGCATCATCGGAGGTCCAGCTCCAGAGAGGCCGAAAGTTGCCATGATTCGTAACATCTATGTTGCGGTTCCGCAACAGGCTGGGCACTCTATCAGCTTGTTGCTGTAAAAAGGTAGCCTGTGCTCTCAAGGTGGCCGTCCGACGTTCGTAGTCTGAGCCCTGCTGACCATCAGCGGGTGGCCCCGCACGTGCGGACGACTCCGCAGGCGTTCGCTCGGCGGGTGACCCCGCAGCCACCCCTCCTTCACTACCCCTCGGAGTGCCGAAGGGAGTGGTCGCCTGGAGTGCCGCTGCGAGCGTCGGATTTCCGCGAATCGCCTGGAGTCGTTGCCACAGGCTGTTCTCACTCGTTTCAGACGGCGGAGTCCGAAACGGCGAGCCACCATCTGAGCCGCCCATAGGAGCAAACCTCGCAACTCCAGCTTGCTGTGGAGGGCGTTGTGGTTGTGGTCCTAGGACGCCTGGTGGCCCCGCAGGAGGGCGCAGGTTCCTCTGCTGCGCGTCTTGGATACCTGCATGCACCGCCCACGGGTCAGCACGGTATAGCTGATCGGTCAGTCCAGAAACGTCGGCTGATGTCAAATGGCTGTTGAGAGCGTGGACCCAGGACTGCTGGTCCGGCCTCCAAGGAGATGCTACCGTCGCCACCGGTGTGACTACTTGCTGCCATGAACCGTCCGAGGAGCCTACCGCGGGTGTCCCCGCTCCTGCGGGTGGCCCCGCCTCAGGCATGACCTCGTCCTCCTGGGCATTCATCATGAGGACTGTCTGTGTGTCGTACGGTCGTGGAGCAACATCTTGCTCGGTCATGACCAAATTGAATGGGCGACCGTCCGTCTTAGCCCAGCCCTTGAGGTACATGGCGTGATCTTCCATTACAGCCAGAGTTCTGTCACACATTTTGAGTGGCAGGTAGTCGTCAGTGCGAATCCTGTCTGCGGGTTGGCCCCGCTTCCGCGTCTTGTCATAAAACAGCGGATTGCTCCAGGCTTCGCCGACCCGATACTTCGCAATGCTCACGATCTGCATGATATGATCGGGTGGTATACGTCCATCGTGGCCCCTTGTCATGACTATGTCATTTGCTGATCTCCATAGAGAGAAGCCACTGGACAGCATTTTGTTGATGCTGCAGAATATGAGCACCTCCGAGTCAGGACGGATGCCCGATTGAATCCTCGGGTCGCCCGGGAGGTAGGGGCAGCCATGCACAAATTGGCGCCCCCCTTTCCTCTTCGGGTTGTCCTGTGCGAGGCATGACAGGCCATTGTCCAGAATGCTCTTGACATACTCCCACTTTGTCCCGTGGATGAAATATACCGGGTCGTCCGGTTCTTTCGCCCATGTTGTGATCGGCCTGAACAACGACTCGGGACAGTGGACGCCTGGACTGCTGTGGCCATTCGTAGCTCTGATGAAGTACTGTGGCCTGCGGTTCGTTGGTCGAAACCTTTGCGGCAGCAGCAGGCTATCATCAACGCACTTCATCTGGAGCCTGCCCGTCTGCATGCCGTGATGATCAATTATCTCACAGCAGTTTAGCAGCACCCAGTACACGAATGACGTGTGGGGCCTGCCCTTGATCAGCACTTCGTGCATGTCATGATAGTGTTTATACTGATCATTTTCCTTCCAGTTTGTCAGCAGGTCGTCGATGACAACCCAGCCGTCGTACGGATCGAAAGTGCTGACCTTCTCGAAGTATCGATTGTGTTTGTCCTTATAATATGGACTGTGGCGCAGAGCCGTCGAAAACCAGATCGATATCTTGGTCATCTGCTCCTTACTCGGCAGGGTCGGATCAGCGCCATTCTGTTGCATGACCTTCAGGAGCGATTCTCTATGCTGCGCAACACGTAGTGGCGGCCTGTCTCGCAGCATGTTTCCCACTTTCTGTTGTTCGCGCTCCCAGTCATTCTGGCACTTGAAATTCCAACGAACCGGACAGTTGATGACTTCATATCGGTCCGTGTCGTCTGGAGTGACTCGTGGGTTGATTGGCTGCCTCGGCCCCTTGTCGTCAATGCCCTGCCAATACAACAGACATTCCAAGGGAATGGTCCTCAGAGCGGACAGTGTTGGTAATGCCGCTGGTGGCGCTTTAACGGCTGGCCCAGCTAATGCAGCTGGCGCCGCTTTAGCGGGTGGCCCCGCTAATGCGGCTGGCGCCGCTTTAGCGGGTGGCCCGCCAGAGCCTGCGGCTGACGAGGCAGCTCCTGCGGATGACTCCGCGCCAGGGTTCGGGTGACCTTTGTCAGTAGCTGCATCATCGGTTAACTTTTGTTGGTCGCCAAACTCTTTGAGGACTCTGAAACGCTCTTCTCTTGAGAGAGTACTTCCTGCGGGTGTCCCCGCTGTTGCGGCTGGTGCCGCTTTAGCGGGTGGCCCCGCAGAACCTTTGTCCTCCTTGGCCTTGGCGGCCTCTTCTGCCCGCACCGACCTCATCCCGGCTTCGGGCTTCGGCTGCGCTTTCATTCGTGCCGAGCCGGGTTGTGGTGTAAGGCGTGGCTGATGCAGCGTTGGAGTCCAGTCACCTCGGAAAGCTGCTTTAGGCTTGTCACGAACTTCATCCTTGACATCGT